TGAAATATCGCGATATTTCAGTGTATTGATATTTTCTCACTCCCCTAGTGAGTAGAAAGTACAGAAAATTGTGTAAAAATGTAATGAGTAAAAGTAAAAAGTACGCTGAAAAATAATTACTCAAGTAAAGTGCAGATACCCAAAAATTCTACTTAAGTACAGTAACAAAGTATTTGTACTTAGTTACTTTACAACTCTGGTCTKTAGAGAATTTACCATTCCAACCCTGCCCTGCTAATTTATTTCCTCCTGTCCGACATCGTTTTCAGGGAAGTATCTCATCTCATATGATGAAATTAAGCGGCGCCTGCAGGCCCCAGAGAAGATGTCCCTCCGGTCCCTGGCAGCKTACACGCGGGTCAGCCGAGGCCCAGCCAGCAAGAAAACCCTTCTGGAGTCGCTGAATGTCCTTGGCCTCACGCCAAGCACAACTACCTCCGTATCCTCCTCGTTCTCCAAACTCACTGAAGGTGACAGATGTGTGCATARYAATCAATGAGTGAGTGTGGGAATARGACTCGGTAGGGTTTTTAATTAGATTTCTTTTGTTTGTTTTATTTTTAGGCGACACCAGAGCTCTGTGTGAGGATATGAATGATTTTGCACATGATTACATTGACTACGGCAACATGGCGAAACAGCTCATCCCTGAGACAAATACGGTTCAACACTGGTCCAAAATTATAGAAACTAAGTACGACTGTCCTTTTATAACATACAGTTTGTTCTTAAAAACCAMTTAAGTCAAACTAAAGTTGTACATTTGTCTCCCAGGAACCATCTTGAAGATATGCGGAAATGTTTCAAGGACCCGGTCAACAGCGGCGCCTTTGACAATGTCACTCACGGTCTCGGCCTCGGGATGCTGGACGTAGCTCTGGACATGGTCATTATGGTGATCGAACAGCAGATTCGCATCCTGTCCGGGGCGGCAGCATCGGACCCGGCCGACTCGGGTCTTCCGATGCGTCGCATCCGCAGGCGCCACCGCAAAATGCACCCTTGTGACGGCGACAAGTCCCACAAGTTGTCTGGCGGGGCGAAGGAGCCAGGCAAGATCTTAATTAAAAGCAAGGAGCGCGCCAGAGCCAAGAAGAAGACAGGGCAGGAGACTGGATTCTCTGGTCCCGCCGAGACCCAAACAGAGCAGGGCCAACCTGATAACATGGAGAATAATGTCCTCACTCTTGTCTCTGTGGGGTACGAGGCYGTTTCTAGTGGTCTGGGCGCAGATGGAACGGTTTGACGTCTGCTCAGATWCCCAGCGATGCAGCACCAGCTCTGCTTTGATTGTTTTTAGGAGATAAAAACAGTGATTCATCACATTGTCATGTCTAGGAGTTAAAAATTAAAGCAATAACCTTTTTCAGCCCTGAGGTGATTCATCGATTTCAGACATTGAACAAACGTGTGTTTGTATTTAGGGCTGCCACGATTAGAATTAGAATTAAAATAGTCGATGATTAATTTAATAATCGATTAGTTTTTTGTTTTGTTTTGTTTTGTTTGTTTTTCTCT